GTGTATGACATTTTGAATCGGACGGTTCAAACGCTACTTTCGACAACATTCGATCGAAGCACTTCAACATCATCATGATCGGTCTGCCTCTGTCTGCACGCCAAGAGAGCGGCGACCCACGTCCCCCTTCATTTCCCAATTTGCATCCAACCGCACGATCGACCAGTAGCAACAACCCACACACGACAAAGTCACGCAACCATGTTCAGCTCGTGGGATCTCGTGCGACCGCGCTTCTGGTACCCCATGTCGTCACTCGAACAGTCTATGATGGAGCTCGAGCACATGAGTGACAGCATGATGCGACCGCGCTTCCCTTTTGGGGCGCGTCGAGAGATGCTCGCCACTCAAACTCCAAAGCACGTCATGTACTCCGGGAAGTCGACGGACGATGACGACTTCTTCGTCGACCTGCCTGTGGTGGCACACAAGTACAAGCCGACGGCGTTCCAACCGGTGCAAAACGCACCGCAACAGGATCAACAAGTATCCAGCACCAAGACATTGAAGGATGACGACCCGATGAGCCACTCGTTCTCGTCTTACTCGTTCAGCAACTCGTCTGTTGTGGACGAGAAGGGTCGACGAGTGGCAACGACGCGTCGCCGCTACGAAGACTCCACGGGTCATCTCAAAGCGGTGCATGAACGAGAGATCGACGGAAAGAAGATGCGCACAACTTGGCGACGACAAGGCAAGGGAGAGGATGAACAGCACGAGTCCATCTGCTCGAGCGGCAGTCCGGAGGAGTTTGAAGCACTGTGGCAGCAGACGCCATTCGGTGCGGCACAGAAGACGTCAGTGAAAGGCCAGCTGCAGGCCGAGTCAGAAGTTGATCGAGACGTGACACCGTCGATGACACCTGCGCCGCTGGCGGACACTACTGTCCATGAAAAGTCAACGGAGATGACATCGACGGAGAAATGCGCGGAGGTAGAGACAGAAAAGAAGCACAACTTGTAGTGTCCACCCCCACGATTGAACAATTGAATGGAGGTTTGTTCTTGTGAAGAAGAAGAAGCATTCGTTGGTGTTACCATTTGCATTGATGCGCTCAAGCGCCGTCTGTCTCCAGGCAAGCTGCGAGTCGATACACTTGTCTGCATCGGACGGTATCCTCAGCCGATAAGGACACACACGAGTATCGATATACGCGTTTACGAGTGTAAATGAACGAGACGTCCGACTTTTGGGTACCCGTTCATGAGAAGCTTTTGTTGCTTCTGGTGTCTCATCCAGTTAAGCTGCAGGATAGGAGGTTGTGGAGTGTTGAATTGTAGGACCTGAAATGCCTTTGATGCGCTTCGAGATTGAAGAAGATATTGCAGCAGCGGAATATCGTGGACTTACATCGGTTCTGATCGTCATGTGTGGTATCCATGTGGTAACGATATCATGTTCCCCATTGTAACCTGAAAAGAAAGCACATGACAAATCAACAAGCAAAATCGGTACAAAGCTGCATCAAAACTCCTCATTACGTGAAAGCTGAATGCAGGATCGATCTGTGTGCTGGCTTCGTCGTACATCATTGAACTCGAATGGATGGTTCATCTCGGACAATAGGGTACAATCAACATGTATGAGCTGTAGATGGTGGCTGGATAAGATGTGCGAGCAGAAGTAAGTATCAATGTGGGCAACGCAGTCATGATATCGTTTTTCACTCGTCTAGAAGGAAATTGAGACGAAGGGATGTCCACAGGTGTGCTGCCGTTCATTCGTAGTGTATGCTATCACCACAGCGCACGCCAGCACACATTTAATTGCTGGCGCACAGGTTCCAATGGCACGGCAACATATGATCCGTGAACCACCGCAAGTACCACGTATCGACAATGGCCTCAACAACGACTGCACGAATGAAACCGGCAATGCTTGGCATTCGAAGCATTAAGAGCAAAAGTGGAACCCAAAACGTATTGACAAGGGTAATAATGTACACAGCTCCGATAGTGAAACTGTGGTTGACATAGCAACGTACCCGTCCACCGAACAGCGACCACATAGAACCGACTTCAAGGTCATGCCACCATGCAGTTTTGGAGTAAGTGTTGATTGAGTGGATGTGTATCACGGTTTCAATGAGAGCATCCGTGCTGGAAGTCGTGCTCACAAAGAGCAGCTTGGGTACGAGTCTCCACGGACAAGACGGACAGCGCGAGAGGTATGACTTGTTTTTTAATGTGACCACCTACTCTGCAATTTGTTGATCGACTGCGTTTTGATTCTTATCACGACGCTGTCGTCGTACACAAGGAAAGCGACTGCAAAAAGTCGCATCAAGAGGCACAGGAAAAACGCACATTGCGACCAGAATAGATGACACATGTCGACGGTACACGAAAATACGCAGAAAATCACTGCCTTCAATACTAATGAGGGATTGGTATTCAAAGAATGAACGAAGTCGTTGTTCCTCGACTACTGCTGGTATGGTCACAATGGCAAATGGGATATCGACGGCGGCTGAAAAGCTACGGAAACTCGCGACTTCCACACAACATCTGATCACCGACCTGAGCACCGTTGTGCATTCCTCCTGACGATGCGAGGTCCGCCAGAAGATCGTAATTCAAGTGGACGACAGTACCCGCCGGAAGGGTGGTGTCATGCGCGTATAGTATCGGAAGACTGGAAGGACCATCGGTTTCGTCTCGACTTTCTAGTCGTCAGTGGAAAAGCATTCGCGAAAAAGAAGGTGAAAAAGACGGGAGTCGGTTCTAGAAAACAGCCACCTCAGGTGTATGACATTTTGAATCGGACGGTTCAAACGCTACTTTCGACAACATTCGATCGAAGCACTTCAACATCATCATGATCGGTCTGCCTCTGTCTGCACGCCAAGAGAGCGGCGACCCACGTCCCCCTTCATTTCCCAATTTGCATCCAACCGCACGATCGACCAGTAGCAACAACCCACACACGACAAAGTTACGCAACCATGTTCAGCTCGTGGGATCTCGTGCGACCGCGCTTCTGGTACCCCATGTCGTCACTCGAACAGTCTATGATGGAGCTCGAGCACATGAGTGACAGCATGATGCGACCGCGCTTCCCTTTTGGGGCGCGTCGAGAGATGCTCGCCACTCCAACTCCAAAGCACGTCATGTACTCCGGGAAGTCGACGGACGATGACGACTTCTTCGTCGACCTGCCTGTGGTGGCACACAAGTACAAGCCGACGGCGTTCCAACCGGTGCAAAACGCACCGCAACAGGATCAACAAGTATCCAGCACCAAGACATTGAAGGATGACGACCCGATGAGCCACTCGTTCTCGTCTTACTCGTTCAGCAACTCGTCTGTTGTGGACGAGAAGGATCGACGAGTGGCAACGACGCGTCGCCGCTACGAAGACTCCACGGGTCATCTCAAAGCGGTGCATGAACGAGAGATCGACGGAAAGAAGATGCGCACAACTTGGCGACGACAAGGCAAGGGAGAGGATGAAGAGCACGATTCCATCTGCTCGAGCGGTAGTTTGGAGGAGTTTGAAGCACTGTGGCAGCAGACGCCATTCGGTGCGGCACAGAAGACGTCAGTGAAAGGCCAGCTGCAGGCCGAGTCAGAAGTTGATCGAGACGTGACACCGTCGATGACACCTGCGCTGCTGGCGGACACTACTGTCCATGAAACGTCAACGGAGATGACATCGACGGAGAAATGCGCGGAGGTAGAGACAGAAAAGAAGCACAACTTGTAGTGTCCACCCCCACGATTGAACAATTGAGTGGAGGTTTGTTCTTGTGAAGAAGAAGCATTCGTTGGTGTTACCATTTGCACTGATGCGCTCAAGCGCCGTCTGTCTACAGGCAAGCTGTAAATCGATACACTTGTCTGCATCGAACAGTATCCTCAATCGATAAGGACACATAGGAGTATCGAGATACGCGTTTACGAGTGTAAATGAATGAGACGTCCGACTTTTGGGTACCCGTTCATGAGAAGCTTTTTTTCGCTTCTGGTGTCTCATCCAGTTAAGCTGCAGGATAGGAGGTTGTGGAGTGTTGAATTGTAGGACCTGAAATGCCTTTGATGCGCTTCGAGATTGAAGAAGATATTGCAGCAGCAGAATGTCGTGGACGTACATCGGTTCTGATCGTCATGTGTGGTATCCATGTGGTAACGATATCATGTTCCCCATTGTAACCTGAAAAGAAAGCACATGACAAATCAACAAGCAAAATCGGTACAAAGCTGTATCAAAACTCCTCATTACGTGAAAGCTGAATGCAGGATCGATCTGTGTGCTGGCTTCGTCGTACATCATTGAACTCGAATGGATGGTTCATCTCGGTCAATAGGGTACAATCAACATGTACAATCTGTAGATGGTGGCTGGATAAGATGTGCGAGCAGAAGTAAGTATCAATGTGGGCAACGCAGTCATGAGATCGTTTTTCACTCGTCTAGAAGGAAATTGAGACGAAGGGATGTTGTAGCGGAGCTACACAGCTCCTTAAGTCAGAGAAAGACTTAACGCTCTACGAGCAACTTAGTTTTAAAGAACTAACGATTTTACGAGTCAACAAGCTTCACAGCTTCAGATCCCTGTTCCAGGTAACCTAACGATCCAGTGAATCGACAGCAGTCAGTTCTCAAGAGTAGCTACCTCAAGGAGGTGTTGCTTACTCTTGGTGATCAGTGATCAACGATCAAGACGACTCGCACGCCACGTGTCCTTTTGATCAAAATGGGAACTGATTTTGTTTTTGTCAAAGCTTATAGAATATCTTAATCCTACTCAAAGATCTTTCGTACCTAATGGCTGACACTCGTCAGCCCCCACAAACCAAAAGGATATTCTCTATCACCTTCACAAAGGGGTAAACTCAGGTGTGTAACACCTCTGGTACAAAGTACCATATAATTTCGTGGAACCCCGTTACACCCTCCCCCACCAGACTAACGTTTACCAAAACGTCAATCAAACTTGTGTTCCTGAGCGAGAACAGTGTGCGTACGATAAACCTCACGGCAACGTACGCTCTATCACAATGTCCTTATCACCAAACGAGTTAAAGACTCTGTGTGACTACCTCGATATAGAGGAGGCAGTGGACTATGGTAGCGATACCAGTGTCCAGGGTGATACAGGGACAATGTCCGACTCACCGATGTCTGAGGCACAACCTTCGAATACCTCAAGTCCGTTCTATGAACGTGGAGATGCGAGCGCGCCACCAGCGCAGCATGCAGCATCTGGTTCTGATGAGACTATCATCGCGAACCCGCTCGATGAGCAACAACAATTGCTTGTCCAAAGAGAAGAAAACGCTCAGCGTTATGTACAAATGGCTGCAACCCTTGAACGCCAGCTTGACTATGTGTTCACCCCACCCAGTGTGGAGGAACGTCTACGTCAAGAGGCCGGCTAAACATTGGCAACGTGGGTCACTGGCCATGGCCCTAAGACTCCTGAGGAGGTGGTGAACTGCCAGGCACTTCGTGAGAGGTACCTGGAGCCGCACCTAACGACCCAAAGTCAATACAAGGCACGCCTTGACATTCAAGCACGTGGTGCACCGGTTCCACCGATCAAGGGTATACCCATTCTCTTGCTCGCAGGCGAAACAGTGAGCGAAGAAGACGATGCCTTCGTTCATTGGGTGCACTATGTGCGTCGCCTCAGCAACATTGTTGCTCTAAAGGCTAGTGTCCATGCGGCGGATGTGCGTCTCGAACGCAAGCTTCGGTATGGTTATGCCGAGCTTAAGGCCAGAGGCCAATTGCGCAAGGGCACGCGATATGCTTCGGCTCATAAGGTAGCCGCGAGTGCTGGTCAGTCTGTGACCAACAACCCGCCAACCCGCACCACTAGTGGTGGTGAACGGCCTCGGCCTCGAGATGACCATGGCCACGATGCTCAAAAGCATCCAAAGCATATGGGCAGTCTTGACGAAGGGGTTCCTCAAATTCCCATGAGATTTCAGACTCAGGGTACCCACGCCACTTTACCAGATAATGGTATTGGCCCTGACGACGACGTCGTTTCAGTAGTCTCTCGACATGGAATTGACGACACCCATGCTCATCGAGCAAAGTCGGTGGCGGCCGGTGTACCGGTGGAGGCCCACGAGAAATTGGTTCTCGAAGTGAAGGGTCTTCAAGAGGCCTTGGGTAAGTCCCAGTGCATGCTGGATGCGATGCAAAGCCGCCTTCAGGCGATGGAGCAAGCTCAAACTCGGAGCGAGGCTCAGTTGGACTTGCTGATTCGTCTACAGCAATCCGGGGCAGTGCCCTTGTCGTCGGCGCAAGCGCCTCCGAGTTCACATGGGAAGGATCCCGGTACGGCTTAAGTAAGCCTACGTAGAACACTGGATGTGTGCGCAATTTGCGCGGGAGGTTTAGCGTATACGCAAGTCCCTTCTTGGCCGTGACCGTAAACGGTCCAATAAAGCGTGAACGCAACTTTGTCTTAAAGACAGCAGACACTACATTTGTAGGTAGATTTTTAGCATTGAGTAGTACTTGGTCTCCGACCTCATAAAGATCAATGCAATTTCTGCCTTTGGCATCAGCTTGTTGTTTTTGGGTATCTTGGCTATCAGCCATTGCGTCACGCACATGTCTTAAGACATTTAATCGCGTTGCGAGAAACTCGCCTACCTGTTTTTGAACAGTAGCAGGGCTGATATCAGCGAGCCGATCGGCAACCTCTCCCCCACCAAGCCCTGAATCACGTAGTGATAGCGTTAACGGAACGCGAGGGTGAGTGAGACCGTTTATATAGAACGGAGTAAATCCTGTTGAGGCATGAACAGCGTTATTCAACGCAAAATCAACAACAGGGAGCATTGAGCTCCAACGCCTAGGTGTATCAGCGCAAACACTGCGCAAAATGTCGTTGATGACGCGGTTAACACGCTCAGTTTGACCGTCGGTCTGCGGATGATCCGCTGTGGACATGTCCAACCGAGTGCCAAGAACCTTGAAGATAGACTTCCAAACCTTTTTAGTGAAGCTGGGGTCTCTATCAGAGATAATTGCCACCGGCAAGCCATGTTGGTGAAACACACGGTCGATAAACAGCTTTGCTGTACCTTCAGCATCAATGCTATCCGGCACAGCCGCTAAGTGAGCCATATTGCTCAATCGGTCAACATAGACCACAATACCAGTGTCGCCTTCCGATTCTTTCGGTATGCCAAACACAAAATCCATGCTCATGGACTCCCAACAACCACTGGGTACCGGCAAACTAGCCAGCGGCGCCGCCGCATGCGCCGAGGGTTTTACCCGTTGACACGTTTCGCACGTACGCACATAGGTGCGCACCCACTTATAAAGTTTGGGCCACCAATAACTTTGGCTCACCGAGCTATAAGTCTTCTCACGACCGAGATGACCACTTAAAGCAGTATCATGTCCCTCATAGAGGATTCGATACTTTAATTCCTCATCATGAGGTACTACGATACGAGGGTTATCCTCAATATCCGTGCGATAGCACAACAGGCCATTATCAATGGAATATCGATGTAGCCTCGCACGTAAACGTGCCGACAATTCTATGTCCGAGTCTTTAAACTCATCGCTCCCAAGAGCACGTAGCAAAGCTACACACTGATCGTCCTTGGCATATGCCGCACGAATTAAGTCAGTGACTGACTACTCCAGAGTCGTAGTATGAGCAAGCTCATAGTCAGGTCGACGCGGTAGCGCATCAGCCAAAGCCTTTTGCTTACCTGGCTTGTACTTCACCTCGAAGTCATATTCGGCAAAGAAGGAAAGCCAACGAGCCAATCTCTGCGAGAGATGAGGCGCCTGTGTCGCATTGCATAATGACGCATGATCTGTATCGATCACAAACAGCTTTGAGTCAAGCAGATGTACTCTGAATTTTACAAGAGCGTACTTCATAGCAAGTAGCTCTTTGTCATGAACAGGATAGTTCTTTTCAGCAGTTTTCAGCTGCCGAGACTCAAATGCGATGACGCGTTCGCGTCCGTCGACATCTGTTTGTAACAGAGCACTGCCTATGGCAAAGTCAGATGCGTCACAGACGACACTGAAAGGCCGACCAGAATCGGGCAAAGCCAATATTGGCGCATGAAGGAGACTCTCCTTAACTGCTTCAAAAGCATTATGTTCGGTGTTACCCCAACACCAACCCACATCCTTTTTAAGGAGATTGGACAATGGCCGAGCCATATCTGCGTAATTTGCACTGTACTTATGTAAGTAATTGGCAAGGCCAAGCCACTTACGTAAGTCCTTTTGGTTCATAGGAAACGGTCAATTGACTATGTCATTTACCTTAGCGGGATCCGCTCGAAGGCCTCGCTTTCTAGTGAAGCACCCTAGAAAGGGAATCTCTTCTGCACCAAATATGCACTTCGATGCGTTCGCATACAACTTATTCGTTCGCATACACTCGAGCACCGCTCGTAAATGATCGATGTAGTTATCCACATCTGATCGCCCATTCATTGCACTACTAAGGACAAAAATGTCATCAAAGTACGTTTGTGCATAGCCTCGATGAGGTCTGAATAGTTGCGTTACCAACCGGTTAAATGTAGCCGGGGCGTTAGATAGCCCTTGTGGCATAACGAGCCACTCCCAGAGCATAACGCTCGGAGTACTCACCGCTGTTAGTGGAATATCACTTGCTCGCATAAGCAGTTGGTAATAACCATCGACTAAGTCGAGTGCACTGTACAATGTACATCCCGCCATATTGTTCTGAAGAACATCCTTTCTAGGAATAGGCGTCTGCGCCGGAACAGTGGCTGCATTAATCTTATTGTAAGCATGCACAATACGCCACTTGCCATTTGGCTTTTTGACACAAAATGTCGGTTTTGAATGGGAAGACTTGCTCTCACGAACCATTCCAGCCGCGTGCTTATCACAAAAGAATTCGTCAATGACGTCACACTGTTCTTTAGGCAAAGGCCACTGCCGTGTTACACAGTATTTAGTTCCAGGAACCAAGTCAATTTCATGACGTACACCTCTATCGGGAGGTAAGGCAGAAGGTGGGTTGTGATACAACACATCTTGAAATTCCTTAACTAAAGGATAGAACGGATCCAAAGGATCTTTAAGGATCGAAGATCCACTTCGTGAACTAAGTACCGCCTTTGTATCCTCTAGGATAGACTCATCCATTAACGAGGAAAGATTCAACTCAGTATCAGGTCTAATGACCACTAATTCGGATAACTCTCCTGCCTTTGAGGCCTGGCTAAACTCGCAATTAGACATTTTGTCTAGCTCACACAGAGCGTCCAAAGATTGAAGGGTTTCAAGGCAAACACTGCCATCAACCTGACCAGTCACTTTATTAACAAGTGTATATAGTGTATTACTATTATCACTATGTGACTGTGAGGACGCCTGGCGCTTAAAAGCTGCTACCCGGCGTCTCGATCGTCTCTTCGATACCTTACACCCCTTAGGGGTCGGGACAATATTGTCCCCATGGATACTACCAACCATAGTACGCTCTATACGAGAGCTTTTGTCTTGACCGACATCCGGTGAAGTGTTACATAACTCGAACACTTCACCCAGTGGATTGAAACAGGCCACTCTACGTGTATTATGCGGGTCTAGCCCTAAATTGAAGGACTTCTCGCCAACAATGTCATTACCGATATTAGGTGTGGTGCCCTCACGGCCGCCCACAATACACGGCGTATCGCCAACAACGCCATTACCGATATTAGGTGTGGTTCCTTCACGGCCGCCCACACTAAATGGCGTATCGCCAACAATGTCATTACTGACATTAGGTGTGGTGCCTTCACGGCCGCCCACACTAAATGGCGTATCGCCGACAATTTCATTACTGTCATTAGGTGTCGTGCCTTCGCGGCCGCCCACACTGAATGGCATATGGCCAGCAGTGTAATTACCGACATTAAGTGCGGTGCTCTCACGGCCGACCGCACTCGGTGTAGTTTCACGTGCCACCACACACACATCAAAGGAATCACATCCTTGATCACTCGGCCCTAGGGCCAACCATGCTTTCAGCATGCAGTGACTCGTTATCACAACGAGTAACACTCAACGGAGTACGTGCCGTTTCACTAGATTCAGACGAGCTAGGCTCGAAACTTACGTTTTTAACGTTGGAGTTAAATAACTCAAACATTCCAATTTCCAGCACATTGACATCTTCTGTCAAAGGCTCGCGCCAATAGTGCTTCTGTTGCCTAGCAAAGCTGGGTTCAAGACTCTCCAAAACTTCGCTAGGAGCATTGCGCGAGGCGCCTTAAGTCTTAGACCTTTAATCGATCCTTGGATCATGGCGTTCAAGCCAAGCCATATCAAGGATGAGATCATATCTCAATTCCAAATCTAGGACAAGACAGCGCTCAATACTGTCAAAGTCTAAAAACTTTATACCTAAGTTCAATGGAACTTTAGGCACCGTTACGCGACTTCCAGTCGCTAAACGAACCGTGATAGAATCACCCTCATGCGCTGTAAGCGCCTCAGCATAACGCTGACTTCCCTCAAGGGAACGGCATCGAGTATAATTGCAAGACGCTCCAGAATCGATCAATATCGACCAAGGCTTCTCGAAGCCCTTAATTTTCGCCTCGGCGACCAACAAGCCAGACTTGTATCCACGCACCATACCCGTAGGTATGGTTCTCTTTGGGGCTAAGCCCTGCATTCATTTACCTTCTAAAGGTGTAACAGAACATAGTTCTTCCCCAGTAGGGCGCCCCGCGCCTACTGGGTGTCGGCATTTCTCCGTGCCATGCCAGACTTCTGACTCGGGCTCGAGTGTTGGCCTTTAGTCTGGCGTTGCTTACGCAAAGGGCAACCAGGCCGCAAGTGTTTAGTGCTTCCGCACGTAAAGCATCGTCTTACAACGTGTTTCTGCTCAGCAGCTTGAAGCTCAGCTTCACCTCCATCTTCAGCATAGCTGAGATCCATCGGTTCCGGCCTATTATAGGCAGTGGTACCCGAATAGTTTGCTCTCACAGAGCGAGGATTGTATCCGTTCCAACCAAGTCTGGCCGACTTGAAGTTATGATCAGCATTAAGAGCAATTCTCACAGCCTCTTCAAACGTAGAGGGGTGAACCCGAAAAACTTCGGATCTGGCATTGCCAGTACGTAGACCTTCCATGAAGATAGTCACATGGACTGCTTCAGGCAAAGCGTCAGACTGCATTGCAGCCATGAGCGTTCGCAGCTCTTGGACATAGTCCGATAATTCATTCGCACCCTGGCGGGTAGAAAGAAAGCGTGAGCGCACGCGGTAAGCCTGGTAAGGTGGGAAAAAACCTGTACCAATTGTGACTTGAGCGACTCCCATGTGGGAAACGCTA